ACAATCCGAGGTGTTTGCTGGTACCATTATACACAAGGCAAATAAGCACAAACTTCATATTTTAAATCATAAAATCGGGCATTCATGTCATCAGGGATTCTTCAATTGTGGATTACTAAAAATGATTTGAAAATTATATTTGCTTAGTTTCTTGGTATTTGCGTGTTGCATCATGTGTATTCCTGCAAAGCAATTCAAAGAAAAATACTGAAGTTAATCTTGATTGTGCTAACTGATTGGGAGTAATGTCTAAACACTGTACTATGAAATCTATCAATCACTAAACAGTAAAGACGAAAAGGAAATTGGGTGCACACCCAGAACATGCATTTCACAGGAATGGTGCTTCCATAGAGGGCAAAATATATACATCATACAGAAGGAACAGGGCACACATACACAAAACTATTTTTTATTTTATAAGGATACTTAAAATCAATCTCAGCAAACAAATATGGGGATCCATGCCCACCATATGGCCATATTGTGTTAAGCCCACCACTACTTCACAGTATACCAATATCGGTGGGTCCTTCACTAATTCCAGTGTAGGAGACAAATCAAAGAGTGCTAGTGCTAAGTACGTTGCAGTGTATTTTAATAATCTGTTGTAAAAGTTCTTACAATAAAAATGAAGAACAGAAATTGGTAACTGTAAAACTCCTGAGTAGGGGTGACCCCTGAGGAATAATATATACAAAAGTTCTTACAACAGATTATTAAAATACACTTTTGCTTATTTAGCACGCGCACTATTGAATTTTTCTCCCATGGTAGAATTAGTGTAGGACCCAGTGATATTGGAATACTTTGAAGTAGTGGTGGGCTTAACACAATATGGCCATATGGTGGAACTGAATCCTCATATTTATAACAATATATCTAATCATCAACTTATCAAAAAGCATCCTATTTATCTAAATGTGTGTCGCTTTTGGGCTCTCCTATGAATATCTTTCTAATATCTCATAATAAGTGCTAACCTAAAGGAAATGTACCTCAAATGTGCATAAAAAACAAAAACAAACAGCAACTAGAATTGCTACAATTTCTGGGGAAATTGTGTGAAGTGTTCTTGCCTCCACCAGTAGTCTACAACTGGAGTGGGCGGAGTAACTGGGTGGAGTGGCTTGAGTAACTGCTGTGTGGTTGGAGTGGCTGGAGTAACTGTGGAAAGGTTGGAGTGTGGTTCACTCACTCTACAGCAAGGGCAGAGAAGAGCAATTAAAAACAATCTTCTCCAAATTTCTCAATAATAATAATAATATATGTGAGATAATAGTAAGTGGTCTTGCCATGTAGAGATATAAATGTACCAATTTATATCAAAACGTTCAGCTATCCCTGCTGCCACTGTGATGTTTTGTACAAATCAGTCAATAATTCCTGTATAACGAAGTACTCACTTTATTAATTCATATATAACAGCATCTTCATATTGCAGCCTTGTTACACAGGGTTTCTGCAGCTGCCAGTTCAAATCCCTCGAACATTCCACCCAACTGCCAACAGGAACTAATAGATTTCAAATAGGGCAGAGAAGAGCGGTTAAAAACAAACTGCTCCAAATTGCTCACTTCACTGGCGGTTGCCATCTTCAAACGGTCGTATTTTAAAAACTATAAATCCTACAGTGAAGAGCTTTATTTTGTGAGAATCACAAGACCCAGACCTACATTTTGATGCATAGCATGTCTCTGAAATATTATAAATAAAGGCACAGCCGCAGTTTAGAAATTGCCCTTCAAATTTGAGCTGGCTATTATAAATGAAGGCACAGTCGCAGTTTAGAAATTGCCCTTCAAATTTGAGCTGGCTAGAGTAGAGTTTTAATGAATGTCAATGGACGGCGTGAGTTGCAAACAAATTGTCATATTGTGAAAACTATCAGGACTATGGCTTAGCCGTGGACATGTTTAGTGGCAGCAGGGATAGCTGAATGTTTTGATATAAGATTTGTTTAGGTGGGGTTTAAAATGAGGGAGTGGTGGCAGTTTAGAAATCATGTCCTGATTTTTCAGCTTTTGTCAGCTCCCACTCTAGTTTTGAACATTCCGTCATTCATTCCTATGGGACCAATTTCGTCACAAAAACAACGATATTTCGTGAACCATTCCGCGAAACATTCCACAAAGTAATAGCACACCAATCGGGAACAATCCACACGTTTCGATATATTACTGTCTATGTAGTGTAAAAACTGTGTGAGGAGTTAGGGTGGTAAATTTGGCTATAATATTAAGATTAAGAACTAGAAAAGCTACAATTTCTGGGGAAATTGTGTGAAGTGATCTTGCCTCTGATGTAGATTAATTTAGAAATAAACAAAAATGTTTAAAAGTCTATCTTTTCCTGTCCAAATCTGAGATGAATAAATTGCGTATACGCAGAAGTAAGTTCACACTGACACATGCAGTTCAGGTTAAAAACACTTCAGGAAATTTATTAGCATCTAGTTAAAAAGCGGGCACGCAGGCCTTTTTATATGCAAAATGACATCATCATTGAATATCAGATAATAACAAATAAACATCATTAATTGGGTTAAATGTTAAGTGGCTATGTCAGTGTCCACCCATTAATATTATTAATTGGCTCAGAGATTTGAGTGACTAGTGAGGCACCCTCCCATCATGGGATGTCGTCGCCATTGCTCTTTAGCACGAGGCTTACTCGGTGGAAAGGGGGGCTTGGGCATCATTTTACGTAGTTAGTGATGTCAGTCTCGTGGTCTGTTCCAAGGTTCTTTTATGAATAGAACATTTCATTTAGTCGCTGTTCTCCTGGCCTTGGATTATACTATGTTGCAAGTCAACGGAGATCCGCTAACTCCGGGGCTAGTTATGTCCTTAGAGAGAGAAAATACAATCTCTTATTCATTATATTGAATACTGTCAGGAAATTCTGTCATGTAAGGTGAACAAAATGGAGAATTCTGTCATAGTGTGATATTAAAATGGAGTTAGTACAATAATTCAATACAGGTTCTAATAAAGATTTTAATAATTCTACATCAGTCCCCCCTATGAAATGTTAGATTCTAAAAGATAATCTTTATTTGTTAGTATCAGAAGACGTGTTAGCCCAAAGGCACAGAAACCCCGTGACCCGCTAGCTAGGTGTTATTGCAAAGTGCAAAGCTGTCCCTTCGTCTGTCCCTAATTGGCTAACTCATCTGTCCGCTGGGCACTCGAACACTTCACTCCATGGGTATCCCGAGGTGGCTAACCCACCACATCTCCGCACGGTAGACTTCCCAGACAGACAGATGCTGTCCCTAAGCTGGTCCCTTCCTAGAACTCTTGCACTCTATCAATAAACGGGATAGATTGTAGCGGTATACAGGGCGAGTTGACTTTTTGGAAATCTTGGTCATCAACTGTGAGGTGTGCGTAAGTGGGTGCCGCTTGGTCTACAGTCTTCAAGAGGAGCTTTCTCAGACAAGGGAGGACACAACAAACGAGAAGAGCAAAGATAAAAAGGAAAATTAGTATTGCTATACCAATATGCATCAAAGCTTTTTGCCATCCTGTCATCCAACCAAACCATCTCTCCCAGGGATCTTTTATCCCAGAGTTCCTCTTTAGCTCCTCAGAGAGCTCTTTCAATTTTTCTATAGCTAAGGTTACTTTACCATTGGGGCCTGTGTTTTCTGGGATGTAAGTACAACATGTCATGGTGTCAGGCAGAATTTTACATACCCCTCCTTTTTCGGCTAGAATCATATCTAAAGCCATTCTATTTTGGAATGACATTTGGGACGTAGCCTGCAGCTGTTCGGCCAAACCCTGAAGGGCATCCCTGGTGTAATTAACAAACCGTTGTTGGTTGTAGTAGATGTAATTTATCCAATTTAAATTCTTGTTTGCAGTGACTATGGTAAAAAGTGATTCAAATCCTGCAGCAACTTCATCCCTGGCTTTAAACTCATTGGGCACCCCCCTAGGTACCCCAATGGCATCAATGTAAATATGAGGGTCAAAACTGCCTTTTACTGGGGCTTCACGCTTTACCTTGGTTGGTGAGTGTTTGGACTCATGAGTATCGGGGTGTGTGTCAGAGATAATATGTATGGGCATGATTGCTTTAGCCAGAGTACACTCCCCCCACCATTCTTTATCCATTCTTGATCTCAGCTGTAGATCCCCACACAACCAGTAAATATCCCCCAATGATCTAGTGTGGAATTGTAGGAGGTTCATAGAGACAGTTCTGTAGGTGGCACAATAACCTTTAGAGAAGTTACCCACAAATTTACCAATTCCATCATAATTAGCATAACAGGTATAATTACCTTTATAGACGGTAACACCATCTGGGGGTTTGCAATCTTTGACTAGAAGAGGATACTCTACTGTCCATGCTTTACATATGGACCTATTGAAATTGTAGTGATAGGCAAAAAGACTCAGAACACATTCTTCTATATCTACTGGCAAAGTTAAAGGCACAGTGCCCAGGTGCGGCCGGGCACCACCACACACATAGCATGCGGTTCTGTTATGTTTGTTGGCATTATATTTCATCCATTCTAACCATAGATTAACATCATTGAAACCTGTTTCAGCGGCCATGGTATCTTCAAATGTTGGATTTGCAATGGCCATCATGTCTTTAAAAGATTGGATGTGTGGTTTCAACGGATTTGAGACCATGTGGGTGGTCCCTTTCCACTCAGGAGAGTGGCACATATCTTTAAGGTGGAAATGTCCTAATTTATTACAGGAACCCTTCTTCCTGTACATTCCCATTACATACTGGTCTGCATCCGTTGGGCTGGGATGCTCAATGTTTAAGAATAATTTCATAGGTATGCCTCCTCCGGGCTTTCTTAGAGTCATTCTCTGGAGGAGGGACCTACCGTGATCATCAATTTTAGATAAGACACTTTTGGTTTGTAACCCCAGGCAGGCCCGGCATTCCATCCCGCCGCCCCCCAATGGTTACAGTTGTGCCCCCATTGTTTGTCAACTACACAAACATAGGGGTCTTTTGAATGAGGGATATCTCTATAGATATTCTGAATCTGTGACGTGGGGAATGGGCATTCTACGATGTCACAGTAGTCAAAAGTATAAGTAGCCACACGGGTACATGATGAATTATACCAGAAGGTGTACCCACTAGCATCTTTGGTGATGGCCACCTGCTGGGCTTTAAGGAGGCCAACTAAGGAGATAATGTACCAGAGGCACATGGTTGCATAGAGTTAGCTTCCTCTGGGGCAGGTGTCTTCTTGCAATGGGAAGCGTGGATCCAGTTAGGCCTTCCGGCCAATTTGACAGAGGTAGGGGAGATCAGGAGAACTTGGAACGGACATTTACTGTTTTCGCACAAATTTCTTGACCAGAACCCAGTCATCGGGGAGCAGACTGTGGTTGCCTGTGTCAGAATCAGGATCTGGAATTGAAGAGAAAACTTGGGCATGGATTTTGTTTAAGGCGTTTGCGAGTTCAGTTACATAATCTACTAAGACATCAGTTTGAAGTTGTAGTTGTTGGGGAAAATAGCAACCTAGCCTAGGTGCAGTCCCAAATAGAATCTCATATAGGGACAATGAGGTAGTATTTTTGTACAAGAGCATTCATTAGATCCTTTGATAAATGTGCAGGTCCGTGTGCCCATTGTACGACTGCTGGGTACAAATTCTTAGGGAGGCAGAACTTGAGGTTGTTGGAGTACACTCCATCCTTCAGAACTGCCCCTTTCTGTTTCCACTTCTGTATTTCTTCAGGGGCAACTGTAGCCTGTTGTTCCCGCAGGATTTTTAGGTCAGTTGGAAGAGTCTGCAGAGTAAATATGGGAGTTTCTTCATTTCCGGACACTCTTCTTTCCACTTCCTGTGGTTCTTTTGCAGCTTGTTTTGCAGCCTGATCAGCTAGATGGTTGCCCCTTGCTTCATCTGAGTCCAACTTCCCATGTGCTTTTATCTTCAAAATAGCCACTTCTTCTGGGAGTAGGAGGGCGTCCATCAGCTCCTTGATTGCGGAACCGTGCTTGATTGGTGTACCGGCGGTGGTAAGAAATCCTCTTGTTTTCCAAATTAATCCGAAGTCGTGAGCCACGCCCAGTGCATATCTTGAATCCGTGTAGATATTGGCGCGCTTTCCTTCAGAGACCTTGCATGCTGAAGTCAGGGCTTGCAATTCAGCTTCTTGTGCAGACATAGTTGATGGTAAAGATGATGATTTGACAATTTCATCTGTTGTGGTTACGGCATATCCTGTATGGTATCTTCCTTCTTCATCAGCATATCTTGAGCCGTCCACAAACAGGGTGAGATCGGGATCTACCAATGGGTCTTCATGCACAGTTGGTAGATGTGTTGTTTCCATTTTCATCTGTTCAAAACAGTCATGAGGTGTATCTGGGTCGTAGTCATTCACTATGGTTAAATCTTGGAACTCATTCTCCAGGAAATGACGCGGCCATGCTTTTAGGTGGTCAGTTGTTGGATATTTGACAACACCATTTTCCTGTAGCTGTGATTCGTCCATAGTGGCCCATGCTTTTGCCATAGGCCCAAGATCATTCCATGATATTGTTTTCAACTTGGTCACAGGGACATGTGGAATGGCAGTGTCCCAATGACGGTACAAATGCTTGAGTTCCGGAGGTAGATGAATCAAGACCATACTGTTGCCTTCAGAATCACAGTAGAAGTCTTGTGCAGTGAGTTTTACTTCGACCAGATGATAGAGTTCATCTTCATAGCAGGATTCAGGAGTGATGTTTGGTTTGTACCACATGGTACAGAAGGCATATCCTGCTCCGTCATGAAGGAGTGCTTGTCCATCATGAAAGGATAGGTTGGGATGCATTTCCTTCTTGATGGTGCCAGTGAGAAGAAAAACATAAGTTTCGTCCATGATGAATCCGTAGTATACACCCCCCTCAGGGAGTGGCAGAAGAGTGGACGGATTGAGAACTTGACATCTTTGGAGGGTAATGTTGTCAGGCAACAAAAGATGACATTGAAGGCGAAGATGCCTAGCAGGAGTAACATGCTTAAGTTGGACCTGGTTGACTATGGCAGAAATGTCATGGGGGGCCAAGACAACCAGGGGGTGGCCAAGGACAAGATCTCCAGTTCTTTCAATGAGCTCTCTGGCAGCAAAGACGGCCCGAAGGCAAGAGGGACGTCCTCTGGCCACAATATCCAGTTGGCAGGAGAAAAATCCAATAGGCCCTTGGCGGCCTCCAGGACCATGGGCCTGAGTGAGCACTCCTGTTGCATGGCCTTGTCTTTCAGAAACAAACAATTTGCATGCCACTGAGAAGGCTGTCAATTTGGTGTCTTGAGCAGATGTGGGTGAGGAAAGTAAAGATGCTTGACGTACCTGATCTTCTGTAGCAACAGCAAATCCAGTATGGTACCTTTCCTCTTCATCCGCAAACAGAGTGGAGTCAGGATCTGGCAAAGCTACTGCATGCCTTGTTGAGAGGTGTCTTATTTCTTCTTTCATCTTCAACTAAATCACACGCGAGCCAGCCCCTAGCGGGCTTACTCGTTTCCTGTCCCATATCCCCCTATACAAAGCGTCCCAAGTATAGGTAAAGGAAAATGAAACAGAACGTCTACAATGCTCGACTGCCACTAGGAAGGGTGGGTCCCTCCCAGTGCGTCTTCCCAAAACGTAGACCAGTCACTGAATCCGTGTACCCTCGATGGTAACCACGGATTGGAGCGGGGTGAGAAGTGTGTGACCAATCACTTCTCTTTCAAGAGAAATAGGAGTGGATAGTGTAAATAGTACAGGAAGTAGAGGAAAAGTAAACAGTGAAAGTAGAGACAGACCCAGGAGTTTGAATGACTCCACACTTAAGACAACATTTAATACAACATTTCAATTGAAATACAGTGCATGCATCAACAGTAATCCCTTTCCTTTACTCTTGTGGCCACCAAGCCACCTCCCTCAATCTCGTAGTGTCCCCGCTCGGAGAACAACTTTCGTAAGTTTCACTACCAGCGGCCAAGGATAACGACTAACACCGGCCCGAAATCCATATGCCTCCCTCGTTACAGCAGTCCACTAAGTGTGGCCACCTCTATCCTCACTCCCGTAGTGCTCCCTATGGACCCACCCACAAGTCACACTACCCCGTGGTGATGGAGACAACAATGCCTGCCCGAATCCACACACCACAAATAAATTGGAATGCCACCAGCCTCAGCGCTCGAAGCTGGAGGGTACCATAACCTCTGCAAGCAGAGCAACGTACACAATGAGGCTAGCTAGAATATCAAAGTGACGTAACCGGGAAACCCCAGGAGGCAAGTCCCCTCCACAGATCCCCCAACCCTTCTTTTTCCTTACTACTGTTAGCTAGACAGTACCTAAAAGAAGTAAACAGGAAAACAGGACCCCTTTGGAAAATCCCCACAGGTCCACCCCCCCTTTTTTCCCAACAGTCTGGGCCAAGTGACTCCTAAAAAGGGGTAAAAACAGGCAACAGAAGACCCCCAGGCAACCACCCACGGGTCCACCCCCCTTTATCTCTAAAGAGGGAAAGAACAAAACATATACCACTAGCACACCCAGGCAACAGATAGACTAAATGCAGGTAAACAAATGGGTAACAAGACACCGGGCAAGATATTACCTGTCTTTGATGCCCTCCCGGGAAGCAGTCACAGACACGTGGACGGGTCAATCAAAGGGGCTGGAACATACCGGTGGCTCCTGCAGAAGTCTCTACCGTGTACTCAGAGGTGATCAGTCTCTCTTCCTTCCCCCCCGATTCCTCCGTCCAACAGCGTCTTCCTTAGGACGGCTTACCGGCCGGAGGCCATAGCCCGATGCCCCACGTTGGATGGACGCCAAATTGATGTAGATTAATTTAGAAATAAACAAAAATGTTTAAAAGTCTATCTGTTCCTGTCCAAATCTGAGATGAATAAATTGCGTATACGCAGAAGTAAGTTCACACTGACACATGCAGTTCAGGTTAAAAACACTTCAGGAAATTTATTAGCATCTAGTTAAAAAGCGGGCACGCAGGCCTTTTTATATGCAAAATGACATCATCATTGAATATCAGATAATAACAAATAAACATCATTAATTGGGTTAAATGTTAAGTGGCTATGTCAGTGTCCACCCATTAATATTATTAATTGGCTCAGAGATTTGAGTGACTAGTGAGGCACCCTCCCATCATGGGATGTCGTCGCCATTGCTCTTTAGCACGAGGCTTACTCGGTGGAAAGGGGGGCTTGGGCGTCATTTTACGTAGTTAGTGATGTCAGTCTCGTGGTCTGTTCCAAGGTTCTTTTATGAATAGAACATTTCATTTTGTCACTGTTCTCCTGGCCTTGGATTATACTATGTTGCAAGTCAACGGAGATCCGCTAACTCCGGGGCTAGTTATGTCCTTAGAGAGAGAAAATACAATCTCTTATTCATTATACTGAATACTGTCAGGAAATTCTGTCATGTAAGGTGAACAAAATGGAGAATTCTGTCATAGTGTGAGATTAAAATGGAGTTAGTACAATAATTCAATACAGGTTCTAATAAAGATTTTAATAATTCTACATCACTAACTACCTGCCTTTAATAGTGACAGATTATAGTAACTAAACTCAAGAGGCAGCAATTAATCAGAGCACCTGTCTAGCAAAGACTTTTCATTGAGCTGTTTTGGGAAGTCTATGATTGGACAGCCCAGAAAGTCTGGGCAGGCTTAGAAGGGGAGGGCTTCCATAGGCAGTGGACAGAGAACTGTAGGTTTTGCAAACTGTTTTTAGATATATCCCCAATGAAAAAATGCATGATAAAATATATGCAATTTTTAATTTGGGGTATATATAACAGTGATTTTTAATGAATTTTGTATTCGGGCAGGAGGATGTCCTTTTAAGGTATCTGATGAGGTCACAGCATTGTGGTGATGTCATTGACAGTTTAGGCTATATATATCTGCTGCACAGGACCTACCTTAACAGTTATTACTGTATAACCATGGCAGAAGAATTTGCAAGAGAGAAAAAGCAGATGTTTCCAGCTCTTTCGAGAGAAACAACACATGGCAAGGTGAATGGGGGTTATGTACTCACTAAATCCATGCACCCCCTGCCCATTTGACCTTCAAACCCAGTTCCTTTCCTTCTTATGCCCAATGTATGGCGATAAGATCCATATGGACCCCCCATATAAGTATAATAATTTTGGTGACTAATTTGATGCCTCATCATCAGAAAACATAAAATGGAATGTGAATAGTCATAGAAGAGATTACTTTACCGATATATGCATGCATAAAATCGTTATAAATGATTCTCTGTTTTAGGCATCTTCCATTAGAGCCAAGCCAACAAAGAGAAATACGTCTTCGGGGATCAAACTCCCACCATGTCTTAATAATCGGATTCCGATGCTAACCGCAAATCCCTCGGAAAAGGTATACGCTACAATTTAAATCCATAGTCTGATTCATATTAGGAAGGGAACATTTTACAGACACAGGCTGTAAACCTGAGATTTTTTTTTACATTGTCATTTTCTTGATATATATATATATATTTTGTTTATTGTGGATGTCATTCTCCAACAAAGTATAAATTATAAAAAAAAACATCACATTAATATGTACATATTACATATGTTCTATAATCTACATTAACTGAATTTCTATTTGTTTAGGTGGATTTCATTAGAGCACCCCCAGCAGAACAATTTGTGGATGTTCCTTCTGGAGTGAAATTTCCAGTATGTCCTAAACAACCTGTCCAGTTCTGTACCACCAAGCTCTCGGAAAAGGTATTTAATACTAATCCAGACTAGTAAACAGATATTTTCAAGACAATTGAAATAGGGCTACGGATTGATATGAAGGGTTGTATATTTAATGCCAAGCCATGGAATGATTAATTAAAGTAAGCATTAAAAGATTTTATAAATTAGTATCACATCAATCATTAGTTCTATTGTAGATTATTAACTCTTCTACCATATAACAAAATAGCTGAAGTGGATAAGCATTAGTCTACTATGTTTAACCTACTATGTTTAACCTTTCCAACAACCCCCAATTATTTCATATATTGGTTGTTTTATGCTAATGAGTGTTCTTCAAAATAGGTTTACAGAATGAGTGCACAAATGTTTTATGTTATAATGTTTTTGCAGCTTTATAAGCCAAGTCCATCATTTGACCTTGAGGATCCATATTGTCGATTGATGAGGACAACCTACAATAACCTGCATGACCCATACTTAAAAGAATATTACCAGAGTAAAGTACCCCGACAACGGATTCGTCAGCAGGGATTTATCACCAGTGATGATAAGGTAGGATAAAAAAACAAAAACAAGCAACATGCCACTACCATTTAATTTTACACTAACATATTGCATTCATAAATTTAACTGAATGACATTGAATTAAAAGAAAATGTCTTGTTTAGGTTGTTTGCTCTTTAAAAGAGTACAACGAGTACAGGGAGTACCTCTCAAGCATACATAGGAAGAAAATGAAAAACGTAAGTTGGATTCAGATTTATAGTAAAAACAGTCAACATAGTAGACAAAGTGTAATTTTCAGTGGGATGATATTTAGCTACTCAAATTAAAAACAATTTTAAAAAGATGAAATAATAATAATCTGTTTGTTTTTTAGAAGTTAGAGAAACAAGTTAGACAAAATTCGTCTTCCAACCAATGATGCTCCCAAGATTGTTAGAAAACGTACTTCTTAATAAAAGTTCATTACTAGTTGACAATTTTGCCACATGTGATTTCCTGCAAAACAGTTCAAACATATGAAAATATGTCATCATACGAACATGTGGGTTAAAATATGAAATTTTATTTAAAGAAAAACTCTAGCACTATAACAATTTTGTCTAATTGAATTGGTTGTAGCGTCTGCAATCCACGGCACCTGTTCCATGGTTAATGTTAAATCACGAATAGTTTAACACCTAATTAGGGGCCTACTGCACATCCCTTGCTTGGAGTAGTTACACTCCACATTAGCTATACCAGTGTATAGCAGCAATAGATGTCTGTGATACTCTGAGAGCCAGCAGGTGGCGTTCCAATCACTGCCAACTATTGCTGCTTGAACTAATGTTTAAGTATGAGTCTAAACAGTAGAGGGGGGCTGGACAGCGGGTGTCCAGGGACCTTCATTCAGTGTTTAACAAATTGAAAATGATTCAGCTCCCAGGTACTCCAGTGTTACTTTAACAAACAATATAAAAAATCATACAGATTGGCCTTTAATCAGATACAGTCCGAGGTGTTTGCTGGTACCATTATACACAAGGCAAATAAGCACAAACTTCATATTTTAACTCGTAAAATCGGGCATTCATGTCATCAGGGATTCTTCAATTGTGCATTAATAAAAATGATTTGAAAATTATATTTGCTTTGTTTCTTGGTATTTGCGTGTTGTTTCATGTGTATTCCTGCAAAGCAATTCAAAGACAAATACAGATGTTAATTTTGATTGCGCTAACTGATTGGGAGTAATGTCTAAACACTGTACTATGAACTCTATCAATCACTAAACAGTAAAGACAAAAAGGAAATTGGGTGCACACCCAGAACATGCATTTCACAGGAATGGTGCTTCCATAGAGAGCAAAATATATACATCATACAGAAGGAACAAGGCACACATACAAATCTATTTTATATTTTATAAGACTACTTGAAATCACGTATCTCAGCAAACAAATATGGGGATCCATGCCCACCATATGGCCATATCATATTGTGTTAAGCCCAGCACTACTTCACAGTATCCCAGTATCGGTGGGTCCTTCACTAATTCCGGTGTAGGAGACAAATCAAAGAGTGCTAGTGCTAAGTACGTTGCAGTGTATTTTAATAATCTGTTGTAAAAGTTCTTACAATAAAAATGAAGAACAGAAATTGGTAACTGTAAATCTCATAAGTGGGGGTGACCCCTGAGGAATAATATATACAAAAGTTCTTACAACAGATTATTAAAATACACTTTTGCTTATTTAGCACTCTCACTATTTAATTTTTCTCCCATGGTAGAATTAGTGTGGGACCCAGTGATATCTAATATATCTAATCATCAACTTATCAAAAAGCATCCTATTTATCTAAACGTGTGTCCGCTTTTGGGCTATCCAATGAATATCTTTCTAAGATCTCATAATAAGTGCTAACCTAAAAGAAATGTACCTCAAATGTGCATGTAATAAAAACCAAAAACAAACAGCAACTAGAAAAGCTACAATTTCTGGGGAAATTGTGTGAAGTGTTCTTGCCTTTACCAGTAGTCTACAACTGGAGTGGGCGGAGTAACTGGGTGGAGTAGCTGGAGTAACTGTTGTGTGGTTGGAGTGGCTGGAGTAACTGTGGAAAGGTTGGAGTGTGGTTCACTCACTCTACAGCAAGTGAGAAGTCTTACAAGGCTAGTCTAACAATAAGTAATAATATTTAGGAATTTGATTTACTCTGATGGAGATCATCTCCAGTCCGATTTGTATATGAGTCTTTGCTACGTTCCACACTGCGTAGGATACTTTTGTGAATTCCAGGTCACTTCTTTTCTTGTGACAAGGAATCGTGACTTTATTTTCTAATTTTATAATTAGGGTGAGGCCTTGAGACACCCATGGAGTGTCTAACTGG